GCAATATTAGGAGAGGAGCGCTGCGGTACGGTGGCGCTGCCCGATGGACAGTGCGTGTCATCAGCTGATCGCGCAGTGCGGAGCGTGGGAATGTCGCGGCCAGCGTGAGAACCAGCAGCTGATGTGACGCCGGTTGGAAAGATTTCAGACATCAAAACATCTTATTTGTATTTTACACTCATTCCTTGAAGCGAAATGGTGAGTGCAAGATAACAGTAACGATTTCCCTAGGTACATTAAATAATAAATCCTAATTAAAATATGTTTCTGAAAACATATGTACAATTTTCTAATTGAACCTTTCTGTTGACTAGGTTAAACCAAGCTAAGTCTGATTCCCCTGACTTCATGAGTTATGTACAAAAATCCAAAAATACATGTTCTGTGGAGGAACCAAAAAAGTCTACAAAACCAATAAAACATTTGACATTAGGAACAATGTTCCAAACACTTAACAAGTAAGTTTGAACATTTTTATCTGTTGCCTGGACTTGGTTTTCTTTTTGGAATTTGCAGAGAGCCTGCGGTTGTACTCTTCACAGGCAAAGATAATACGTGTGTTCACGTAAAATGAAATTATGGCCTTTGTCAATTCCCTCTTGTGCTCATCACAGCCAATTTGTGTGAATGCCTTTTCTTTGACTCGGTCAACCACTGTAAAAACAGTCCTAAATAATTTCAATGTGACCAATAAAAATGGGTAAGTTCTGTCTTTAGTAATATATGATTACCTTCAAATACCAAATCTTTATGAATATGGCTTGTCTGGAACACTTCAAGAATGGTTTTTTCCAAAGTTTCCAGGATACTCATCATATTGTCAGATGGTGTAATGAGGTAGCCAAGGGACCGACTATGGCTAATGTCATCTTCCTCTTCTCTGTATGGCTGATCAGCTGGAGCTTTGAGGCAGCTGAAGCACTCATCACATGTTCGAGCAACAGTGAACTTCCTTGTCCTTCGAGCCACGTATCCTCCAAACTGTTTCAAGGCTGATACATCAATTGTGTTATTTTGGTAGTATGTATGGTCTGCAAAAGCACAATTCTCTATCACCTCCCCTGTGTCCAGGGCTTCATAAAGCTCTCTCTCTAATTGCAGGCGCCTGCGTTTGTTCTCTTCTGATGTGAAATCAGGCATCGACAGAAGAGACTTCAGCATATCACCTCCCATAATATTACTGCCTTTGGGTGGCTTTATGAGGCTTCTGTATGAAGCAAGCCTGTAAACTTGGATAAACTGGATGGGGTCTGGATGTCCATGTGCACCACATCCTTGTCGAATAAGACCAAAGAAATGCTAGATGAGGAACAAAAGGTATGACATATTTGAAGAACTTTTTTTTTTGTAGTGAAAGGCAAATGTCATTTATCTTTCATTTATTACCTCCAGTGCATCCTGATTGATTCTCCTGGTCATAAAATACTCATAACCATGATCCTGGATGAGATAGAGGCTTAGGTGAAGTGCAGTTTTCACAGTTACCCTCAGCCCATAGGCAGCACTGGCAGTAAGCCTCTTGTCCCTTAATACTCCTGATGTTTCCCATTTTTTCAGGTATGCCAGAAAATCAGTAAGAGCCTAAACAATTGATAAAATATTTAAAAGCTTAAAACTTGGCAGGTATGCCGTTTTGTTTAAGTGTTAAGTTATTACAAACCTCTCGAGCAGTGCCCCTTCTTTGAGGAGAATATTGTGCATGCACTTTTCCACACTCAAGGCATTGTGCAGGTGCTGCATTCTCTTCCCTTTCCTCTTGTACACCTGGTGCCTTTAACCCATCTTTCCGGGTATTAGAATTCATGAAGTCAATGAGCACATTCATTCTCCTGATAAACTTCACGGTGGCTTCACAGTCTTCCATACCTATGACATGTAGGTTTTTATAATGTTCCATGGCAGTTGCTACCTGTTCACTAAAAAACTAAAAATCAGAAGTATTAGTCTAAGATGTAGAGGTGTTCCAAAAATTAAGAAAACAATGAATGTTATTAGGTAATTTAACTTACTGAAAAGGCTAACTTGACACTCATGGTTGCATAACTTTCGCTTTGGAAGTGAGCTTTTGACAGCTTGGGGGCAACTTTAATGCCTCTTTTTTCATCTTCCTGACAAACTATTGCCCAGTGGTTGAGCTTAACTACTCCATCTGGTGTCTAAAAGAAATGAATTTTTCTACATTACATAAATGTTATGTGTAATTACTTAAGTACTTAACTCTAAGATTTTACCTCTAAAATTTCAGTGTTCACTATTCTCTGCTTTACAGATTTCATTAGATGTGGAAAGTCCGAAGCAAAGTATAGATTTCTTTTGCTGTCAATGGGATGTGTGCAATAAGACACAAAGTCTTCGTCATTTTCAGGTGAATTTTTTTTCTTCTTCCTTGAGGCTGTTTTCTTCTTGCGAGGAGCTTTTTTCTTTTTGTTGTCACTATCTTGTGTTCTTCCTGATCCTATAAAAGCTAATGTGGCTGGTTCATCTATTTCTTCATATTCATCATTATCATCATCATCAACAGCATATTTCTTTTTAGAGCCTTCAGTTTCATACCTTAATTTTTTTAAACCAAATTTAGACCACATGTTTCTATTCCATGGAGCAGCATCACTTACTATACAATCTACAAAAAGGCCAGCTTGTTCCAACAGACCAATTGCTTCAAGCAATATTTTGGCAAGATCAGGGCCTTTAATTGCCCCTTTGCTGAGAAAGGCACCAATTGTAATATAATATGCTTCTTGAAAGCCTTGAAACATCAGCCCTAGGGCATGATCAGCTGGTACATCTTTCAAAGCCTCAGGGGTGTGTTTACCATAATAGACAAAGCCTTTGACCTCCAAAGCAGGTTTGTCGTAGCTCAGCCCTTCAGTGATTTTCATCTCATCAAGGAGCAGGGCACCTAAGGTAAGGTTTAATAAATTACTATTATGGAATTCAATATATATACACATATATATATTCTCATTAAAAAAACAGCTATAACTTACCATGTCTCTTTGGCTCTTTTATATGGGCACATTTTTTTTTAATCAAAGAAAAGGTATTCTCATTAAACCCATATGCAGGGTTGAGTTTCTTCATATATCTTTGCAGAGTTCTCAATGATGGAAGAGGAAGAAAATTATCTCTAAGCATTTTTTTATATAAGGCAAGTGACTTAATTCTGAGCAGAGTACACTCGTATATCCACTGCGCAGTGTATCTTCTCCCATGACTATTTTTAGCTTTAGCTGCTGCTACACAGGTACGAATTGCAGTTTGCCATGATTCTGGCATTAAAGCTACATAAGCATTTATTTTTTCATCGCTTAAAGCTTCAAATTTGTCATGCAGGTTATGAATTGTTTGTTTCAACTTTTTGATCTGGAATAGCATCAGAAAGAAATAGAGAATCAGAACTGGAATTCTAGTGTAATTGCCTAAAAAGGAAACACGTTACTGGAAATTGTTTACCTATGTACAAATAATTTCAAAATACTCACCTTTGCTTCCCTTCTAGCTACTTTAATTTTCAGACCTTTAATAGCATTATTCTTCTGCTGACATTTCTTACTTCTGTTGCAGTCTTTCTCCTGGTCCCTCCTGATGGCCTTTGCAACATCTCTTCTTTTTGAAAGACAAGCTGAACAACGAGGAGGTGGTTTGTTTTTCCTCCCTGATGGCTCCAGAAACCAAACACATCCTGGAGATCTCACATTTTTCAATTCTGCCCCAGGACAAACCTTGGAGGTGTCCATTCTACTGAGCAGGGATAAAATGTCTTCAAGGGTAATTACTTTAAAATCATGCAATATTTGTTGCCCTTGAACGAAAATGGTTGGCTGCTCGCTGCCAGTTGTAAATTTAATTGCTCTGTCTATTTGGATCCCTGCAGGGTCAATGTGAACAAAGGAAACAAATGAGGGCCCTCTTTGAACTAGCCATGATTCTAATGGTTTCTGAATAAGTTGAGGATTGTTGTAAACAGCTTCCACCAAAGGTAAAGGATTCGTCATCAAAATTTCTTCATTCATCACTTCAGCTTCATTCATTTCCACATCATCATTTATTGTGTGTTCTGTGAGTTCTTCATTCGTCTCTGGAATCTGCTCCTCAGCTTTTCTTCTCCTTTTTTTGGGAACTTCTGACACCCTTTCAGTTGCAGACCTTTTTGATTGCACTTTAGGTATCATATATTTTGGATACCCGTTTAAGATGGTTGGAACTGCATGAGGCACAAGCTTTAATTTTCCACCTTGTGGACTTATGTCAATGCCCCCAACAATCAGAGGTTTGGGCCTGATGATATAGCTCTCATCAAAGTGCAATTCACACACAGTGTGTGTTGGTTTCATTTTGAAGTCCCCACCTCTAGAGATGATACTCTCCCATTTTTCCAGCATTCCCTAAAAATTGTTTATATATGTTAATGCATGTTT